GTTAGTCCATTTTGTTAATGGCTTCTATATTTTGTTAATTGCACATTGCTCATGAATTTATGATCCGTAGGACATTTTGATGTATTTGTATGTTTGTGAGATATGAGTATACATTGTAATTTTATATATTACTTTCACATTTTGTATGTTATAATTTTATTTATGTTCAATATAGAACATGGGTGGTCACAGAGTTAGGAATAAGGAACTAATGTCATGAACGGATGTGAATGAACTTACTTTTATTGAAATTCTGGACGAGAGAGTGAAATCAAACGCATTACAATGTTCTACCTTCACAAGAGACGAATGTGGCAGAATCAATGAAACAAGGGTTGCTTCAACGAAAATGGATTATGAGATAGATAGATTGAAGGGAAAGTGGAACCGCTTACGTAAGATTCACCGTATGTTCTCCGAACTGTTGGCACATACAGGGGTTACATGGGATCCAAATACCAACAAAGTTAATGTTGCAGAGGAAGTTTGGCAACACTTTTATACGGTATATTTCTTTATTAAATAATATTGTCGTCTTTGAAACAAGAAATTAAAAAATATTTGAAGTGTGGTAACATAATCTAACCATCCAATTTTACAGAGAAAAATAATATAATTTTGCCTCAAATTTCAGGGGATATATTTACAGAAAATAGCTATCATTTCCCAGTAGAAGGTCATGCACCTCGTCCAACTAACAAGTACGTTACTGTACCTCAGCCAAGTAATGCATTCGCGATTTCCCTTAACATGGTAGCAAGTATATGTTAAAACCTCCTATATAAAGCTTTACATAAATAGAGCTGCCCGCATCATGTCATCATATTGACAGAAGCTCATTTGCCAAACGCATTTTAAATAAATGTGATTTTGACTGTGTTGGTAAACTTTTTTCTTCTTCTTTGAAATGGCCAACTGCACACATGTTTGGCAATTTACCAATCCACAATAAGTCGATATGTGAATTCCTAACACAGCTGAAGGGATGTCTTGAACTTTGTTGAAGGAAAGAAGAAAAAACTAAAGTTTCAGGGGATAAATAATTTTCTCCTTAGAGAAAGTACAATGAATTCCCCAGTAGTTACTGCACGTCATCCAAGTACGTAATGCACGTGTTACTACAGATTATACAAGTAACAAATAAATTCACAATTTTCCAAAACATTGCAGCACATGGTTGTCCTTTTATCTCCATGCAGTAACATAGAAAAACCTCCAACACGAATATCTACATAATCCCTAAGAAGACAATAAACAGAGTTGGCCATGCCATTGCCATCAAACTTTTAGAAGCTCATTTGCCAAACATAAGCATTTAAAGCAAATCCATGGTTTTGATTGCATTAGCTAAGCAGCCAACGTTAATCAACTGCAAAATTGTTGAAAATTAAACATCTTTTCATTGTCTGAAATGGCCAATTTCACACATTTTCCTACATACAGAAGATATTCTCCCTTCATGATTTCAAGTTTTCTCTGTTCATTTATTTGAGTTTTTCCTTTCTTGCCCCCTCCCCTTTTTAGAGCTATGAGAGGTGAGTACATGTTGAATATTACCAAAAGTAGCTACTCTTTGGCCTTAATCAGAACTGTAAAGATAAATTCTTTACTGCATCAAAATTACACATTTCATTTTCTAATTATCAACACTTCTTCAACATTTATTTCTTGACATTTTCAACGTCATGATATTTCTGCATAACTATGTGATTATTAATTGGATGTACAAATTTGTTATTGATTCAATATTTACTTATAATTTCCCTCTTCTGTTGCCTTTCAATTTAAATTCACATTCATCATGTTTATTAGGTTATTTGACAGCCTGTTTATGAACTTTTTTCCTTTATTGGAGAATATACATTGTTATAATTATATTGTTGATTTTCTGTTTTATATATGTTGTCCACTTCTTTTACCTGTAACTAATTTGGCTTCGGAACATTTTAGGCTTTATGATAATTGTGTATATTTTTTAGGCTTACCTTTAGTTGTGGGAGCATGGTGCTCTAAAGTTATAAACACTTCCAAAACCGTTTGAAGGGAGTAATTAGCCAAGAGAAGTTTCAAAAAATTCGTGCATATATCCTTGATAAAAGGTTGATTATTATTTTTTTCATCTAATTGTTATTAATGTATGGTCTAAGTTTTTCTTGCAAGAGTTTTCCACTAACCACAAGTTCCTTTGTTATTGATTTTTATTTCAGCCATTTCCATTCTGTTTACGAGCTTATAATCATACTTATAGACTTTGCAATTATTCTTTACTTCGGGATATTTCCCTGGTTTGGAATGTAATTCCTCCTGTATTTTGTTGGTGCTCCTTTGTTTAAGAACTCTCTATTGACTTCTTTTTGTCTTTTGTGACTTCAGAGGTCAAGAGAATTTTTCTACATTTTGCTCTCGATACAAAAAATGAGATATTCCACACACTTGCATTTTTAGTAGGAGTTATGACTTGGTCACAGGTGCATATACATCTCTTCTTATTTGCTTAGAAGGATATCAATCTTTCTCATTTACAGAGGTTGGTTACAGATTCTAGATCAGATGGTTTGTCTTTATGTCTCGTGAACTTGCTTTGCATAGAGAATAATGAATCAACTTCAAAATAATATTACGTCATCTTGTAATTTTTGTAAGAAGATTTGCTTAATAAATCTTCAATTCATACCAATTTTCAAAGGATGAAATGTTTCACGAGCATTCATTAGGTTAAGAAATAAGTTCACTATAACTTCTTCTTGTCCTATAGAGATGTAATATAAAATTTGTTAATATTCATTATTTAGTTTTTAAAGTAGCTCATTCCGTATCCCTCCAAGAGTAGCTCTCATCCGGCCTCTTAAAATCTATCCAAAAACCCAGTAGAAATTCATCATAAATCATCACATTTATGAAGTCTGGAGTAAGATTCATCGAAATACTTTTGTGCTCAATAGTTTATTGTAATCTTGTAGCAACAAGCATAATTTGTAGCACTATATTAATCATGCATCTATTTTGAAATGTTATTTGATTTCTTGTACACAAGAGCAAGATTTATCAAACATGGGAATAAGCATTGGAATGAATTAAGAAAGTGGATAAAAGTTGTGACCCATTGAAAAGTGCGAAATTTTACCAACTTATTATCTCAAAGATTTATCAAACATGGGCATAAGCATTTGGAATCAATTTTGTAGAAAGAACATGATATGATCCGGGATAGGCAATCACTTGGTCGAGTTTTGGAGTCCAAATTGAAGAAGTTGACAAGCCAAGGTTCGGGAGCCAAAACGAGTTGGATTCAAGGTTTGGAAGATATTTGGAAAGAAAACGAGCAGTGTGGATGAAAACAGACATAACTTTTAGCTCGGTTGTCAGATTTTCTCCCATGAGTACATTCCGGAAATTGCACGAAATTTGCACAGGGCTGCGCGGGCTTATAGTACTTTTGGGCTTGCAATCGCACAGAAACATGCCGAGAACAAGTTGGCGGAACCTATTTTCATGAGATTTCCTTGTTAACACTGTCCCCTATATCAAAGTTCCAACCTCCTACTTCGAACCCAGTGAGTTTTTTGTCATTCTTTTCAATGCTACATTTTTTATTCCGAACTTGCTTCTAACTCGTAATCATTCTCTTTGCAGGGTTGGTTGAGCGTTTTAACTTTGACAAGAGTGATTGGGACACCTTGTCCGAGATCTACCGCCGGCCCTTTCCAGAACACGATTTCAGCCGTTTGGTGGTTCCTCAGCGATTTTACGAGGATTTCTGTTTGATGGCTCGACGTGGTAAGGTCCCTACACTTGACAAATTGTATTGACTTATTACTGTTTTACCTGACCTCCATGTTTTGTTGAACTGTAGGCGATTTTGAGAAAAGGAAAATCCCCACTCCTGATACAGCGCCAATCTGTTGACCCCAAAAAATGAGCTTAACAGATATCGGGCCCACTCTTGCCATGTCAAGTACGGGTCCGACACGTTTCTACCGGAATGCAATCAGTAGTTTTACTGTTCATGAACATGGGAGGCACTTTCTGGCGAGAGACAAAAATGTTTGGACTCCGGTAGTAATATATGAAGAAATCACACTAACAATGATCCCTGGGTTTTCATGCTTTAGGAACAAATTCTTGTTTTGTAATGGAATATGTGGAATGATAGATATGATGTGAATCAGAATGTTTTTATTTTTGATAGCTCTAAGGTTTTTTCTCTTTTCTTAGCTCAAAAATCCTCTGCCATCTATGAACAAAGAAATGGATCATTTATACAATTCTGGCAGACGTGGTGATCGTTAGATCAGATCCACGTGGAGGCATCTCCTAAACTAAGGCTTCACGTCGCTGTCTAATCAACGCATTTAATGTTTGACTAAAGGTCAGCCACTCTAGTAACAGGCTGACACTAATTATAACTGCACACTTTATTGTAGGCGTCCCATCAATCAATCCAAAAAGATCTTCGAATCTGCTGAGGCAACATCGAGTTTATGAACCTCGGAGGACACTGGAAAGACCTCGGACCACGTATTGCCTCGTCTTTGAGGAAGTGCCTCTGGCCGAGGCTATGTTATGAGAAGATACTTGTTTTCTGGGTAGAGGGCATCGGCCCGCTTCCCTCGTGAGGTTCCTGACCCATTGGACGTCCTCTTTACTCCTTTCTGATCATCCCTACACGTGGCTTGCCACGTGGCCAATCTTCTTCGACCCCGAAACCGGGGGATAACAGGATTAATCATCTCTCAAAAGGAAAGTCATATGATCTAGTAATTTTTTTTTTGCAATCTATGTCAAATATTCTAGAAAGTCACTAAATAATCCACTAAAGAGAAGATCAACCGCGAAATCTAGATAATTCACGACAAGTCAATCCAAATTCCACGAAAAGTAGAAAAATGGAAATTGAACAATAAATGTTTTAACAGAAGGGGAAAATTAAAAAAAATTGTTTCCAGCAAAAGCAAATTCCATAAAATAGAAAATAACACAAAAAACTTATATACGTAAAACAATCATAGAGCGTAGAAACGCGCATACAGACGAAGAACGTGTATATATGCAAAAAAGATACATAAAGTGGTATACCTTGGCATCATGCCATTGGGCTGGATGCCATGCTGAAGGCAACAAAGCTCCCAACACCTGAATTCCTGCTTGACCTATAATCCATATGAATGGTCAGGGTGTATTCAATTAAGAAGACTTTTTCAAGTGAGCGACTTTCGTGGATTTTGCTATGGATTTGGTAAGAATTAATAAAAGTCTTTCACAAACTCCTGTAGACTTTTATTGGAAACTTTTAGCGACTTTAGAAGATTTTTATATTTTAAAATAAAATATTAAGCATATATAATGTAATATTTTAAACAATTTCTTATATGTCCAAATATCCTCTCAACTACGTTCCTCAATGAAGCATGACGAATATTAAATAACTCAAGGTATATAAATTGTTCCTGATTAAAGAGAAGGAGAAAATCCTGGAACGTGAAAGAGAAGAAAATGGCCGGCTCTTGACAAATCTCACTGTAGAATGAGAGATTTGTTTTGAAATTTTCTATTCATATTTTCTACCAAAAAGTCTCCCAAAGTCTAGCAAATTATAAAGTCCCTAACAGTCATTATTAATTGAATACCTCGTAACTTATAGAGACTTTTAAAAAAGTTTCAATTGAATACTCCGAAACTTTTAGAGATTTTTTTAAAAATCTCTAAAAGTCTCTATTGAATACACCTAAACTTTTAAAGAATCTTTAAAAGTCTCAATTAAATACACCAAAACTTTTTAATTCTCCTAAAGTCTTTAAATTGAATACACCCCATTATAATCTCTCTCTCTCTCTCTCTCTCTCTCTCTCTCTCTCTCTCTCGCTATGTGTGGGACTGTTGTGTTAAAGAAAGTGAGATTGGAAAAGAAAGTGGGATTGATAATCGAAATGTTAAAATGGAGGAGCCGTAGTATGGGCCCCAAATTCCGTCGGGGAATGAAATGACAAAATTAACGCTGGCTTCCATGTCAATACAAGAACTGGAGCAGGGTGTTATGGATCGCAAGGTGATGACTTGAGATTTAGTATGACACAGGAATGTCATGGCATTAAGTGAGAAAATGAAGTAAACCTATGGTTAATTTCGTCTAAACTTTAGCGGTACATGGCAATGAGGGCATCGCCTAATTTGGTGGGGAGATGACCGATGTCCATGGTCGTAACGACATGTCCAGATTGTGGTTAGGAAATTCGGGTGTGCATGCAGACACTGCGACACAGCAGCAATGCAAACAGACATCGCAGGCAGCACACAAGACGCAGTCAAAATATGGCTGGACACAGACTGCAGTCACGGCATGACGCAGGCAGCACACAGGCTGCAAGCATGAGTAGTTTTCCGAGCACTGCAGGTTGGTTTTCTAAGGCAGAATATTGTCATACCAGTAAGGGAAATATCATGGGCCACACCTGGACATTTTGGGCACTCAACTTGTCCAATTTGTGCCACTTGCAAGATAATGCCAAGAAACAAAGACCAACTTGGCCACTATGAAAGGGACATGTCCACATGTGAGTTGTAAAGATATGTCACTTGTAATGAAGCAAATTCCAACTTTGATTCCATATGGTCTTAGGAGGTTTATGCAACTTGCATCCAATGAGGACCATTGGATGAAGATTGATCTAGGCCATTGATCTAAAGGAACCTATAAATAGAGATGTAGTCTCATTTGTAATATAATTCATTGGAGTGAAGTTATTGTTATACAAAGAGAGTTTTCCCTAACCTTACTTGTTTTCCATATTTTCCTTACTTTAAATATTCTACTCAAAGTTATTGTAATTTAGTCTAGTTGGTTAAATTATTTGTGAATGTTGAAAGACCGACTTAACGTTTTCTCAAGAGGGTCGAAAATTTGGAATGTTAAGGCCGCACGGTTTCTAGTTGTTCGAGTATAACAAAACTAGTCCCGTGACAAGGGTGTACCATAACCATGGGCGGGGAGCGATGGATGATTCATTTTCTATTTCCTTTAATGATTTTATTTTACGTTAGAGACTTTATTCAGTTTTGGAGTCCAATTTAAGGACAGAATCCCAACTTGTATTAAAAGAATGAATCCGCCGATTATTGTTCATTTCTGAAGGTTTTTTTAAAATCCCAATTCACCATCTACTATTCATATAAGGCTTAAGGGTAATTTGGACTTATTCCTACCATGCCCACAATTGTTGACTTTATTGCTCCTGAAGAGGAAAAAGGGAGAAGACAATACTTCGCACAGTGACTCTGTACTGTATGGAATTAAAAAAAAAAAAAACTCCGCANGCGCGGAGTTTTAACTCTGCACTGGTTGCAGAGTGTGAAAGAAAAAAAAACTTTCTCACAGCGCGGAGTGTGGTGTCTGTGGTGTGCGGACACCAGGCGTTGGTGTCCGCACACCTCGAACACTAGGTGCCTCTTGTGCGGACACCTACACCTGGTGTCCGTACACCGTGGAAACTAGATGCCTGTTGTCCATTTGGTGTGGTTACACTGGTGTCCGCGCGCGTGGAATTTTTTTTATTTTTTTAAATATTAGATTACAGTTAATGTTAGTATCAGTTTTAAATTGTTTCCTTGTTAATAATATTGTTCAATGTGTAACTAATCTAATTTCCCAAACAAGTTTAGCGTCCCATATAATTATAATTTTCACCAATAAAAGATGCGTTTTTATCCACTACCAATAATGTCAAAAATAGAAATTAGAGAGATGCATGAAATTGTTTTAATCATATCAAGTCTAGCGTATTAAATTTTGCAAGTAGGGCAAAAATAAGATTAAAGAACTATTTGCCATTTTGTCACTTTTTGATTAAAATTGATAAAATGTGCAGTTGATAAAAATTGTTAGTATATAACTGTATAACTTCAGATTTTAGTGCACATTATAAAACCTTAATAATAATAATAATAATGATAATTTATATGACTAGAAAGTAGAAATCGTCTCCCTAGTTTACATTCCTATAATCTATTTAATAATAATAATATCAATTTTTATATTTACGAAACTAAACCACTATTATTTTCAATCAAGATTCATCCATTTACCAGATTATAGATGTTATTTCTAGAATGAAAATTTCTTCTTCGAACAATTTGAAATACTTACTTTTTCATAGTATCAAAACAGAAACAAAAGTTGAATCATGAACAAAATGATCAACGTGCTCAAAACAAAAATATACAATCAACATGATTAAAAACATGATCAGAAATTAATTCGAGTCCACCCAAATTATTGTACCTTGTTTGACGGTATCACGTCGATTCTATTTTATTCTAATTGTCTCAATCATGAACAGGAAAAAAAGAATCAAGCTAAATTACACAACCCCATTTATTGTTTTCCAAATTTAGGCTTTTAAGACAGCTAATTTACAGAATAGAAGTCACAAAATCCATTCGCTAAACCCCAAAATTTACTTTGAAACAAGAAATTAAAAATATCTGAAGTGTGGTAACATAATCTAACCATCCAATTTTACAGAGAAAAATAATATAATTTTGCCTCAAATTTCAGGGGATATATTTACAGAAAATAGCTACCATTTCCCAGTAGAAGGTCATGCAGCTCGTCCAACTAACAAGTACTGTACCTCAGCCAAGTAATGCATTCACGATTTCCCTTAACATGGTAGCAAGTATATGTTAAAACCTCCTATATAAAGCTTTACATAAATAGAGCTGCCCGCATCATGTCATCATATTGACAGAAGCTCATTTGCCAAACGCATTTTGAATAAATGTGATTTTGACTGTATTGGTTAACTTTTTTCTTCTTCTTTGAAATGGCCAACTGCACACATGTTTGGCAATTTACCAATCTACAATAAGTCGATATGTGAATTCCTAACACAGCTGAAGGGATGTCTTGAACTTTGTTGAAGGAAAGAAGAAAAAACTATTCAAGTAACAAATAAATTCACAATTTTCCCAAACATTGTAGCACATGGTTGTCCTTTTATCTCCGTGCAGTAACATAGACAAACCTCCAACACGAATATCTACATAATCCCTGGGAAGACAATAAACAGAGTTGGCCATGTCATTGCCATCAAACTTTTAGAAGCTCATTTGCCGAACATAAGCATTTAAAGCAAATCCATGGTTTTGATTGCATTAGCTAAGCAGCCAACGTTAATCAACTGCAAAATTGTTGAAAATTAAACATCTTTTCATTGTCTGAAATGGCCAATTTCGTACATTTTCCTACATATAGAAGATATTCTCCCTTCATGATTTCAAGTTTTCTCTGTTCATTTATTTGAGTTTTTCCTTTTTTGCCCCCTCCCCTTTTTAGAGCTGTTAGAGGTGAGTACATGCTGAATATTACCAAAATTAGCTACTCTTTGGCCTTAATCAGAACTGTAAAGATAAATTCTTTACTGCATCAAAATTACACTTTTTATTTTCTAATTATCAACACTTCTTCGACATTTATTTCTTGACATTTTCAACGTCATGATATTTCTGAATAACTATGTGATTATTAATTGGATGTACAAATTTGTTATTGATTCAATATTTACTTATAATTTCCCTCTTCTCCTTTCAATTTAAATTCCTATTCATCATGTTAGTTATGTTATTTGACAGCATGTTTATGAACTTTTTTCCTTTGTTGGAGAATATACATTGTTATAATTATATTGTTGATTTTCTGTTTTATATATGTTGTCCACTTCTTTTACCTGTAACTAATTTGGCTTCGGAACATTTCAGGCTTTATAATAATTGTGTATATTTTTGAGACTTACCTTTAGTTGTGGCAACATGGTGCTCTAAAGTGATAAACACTTCCAAAATCGTTTGAAGGGAGTAATTAGCCAAGAGAAGTTTCAAAAAATTCGTGCATATAGCCTTGATAAAAGGTTGATTATTATTTTTTTCATCTAATTGTTATTAATGTATGGTCTAAGTTTTTCTTGCACTAGTTTTCCACTAACCACAAGTTCCTTTGTTATTGATTTTTATTTCAGCCATTTCCATTCTGTTTATGAGCTTATAATCATACTTATAGACTTTGCAATTCTTTACTTCGGGATATTTCCCTGGTTTGGAATGTAATTCCTCCTGTATTTTGTTGGTGCTCCTTTGTTTAAGAACTCTCTATTGACTTCTTTTTGTCTTTTGTAGCAACAAGCATAATTTGTAGCACTATATTAATCATGCATCTATTTTGAAATGTTATTTGATTTCTTGTACACAAGAGCATGATTTATCGAACATGGGAATAAGCATTGGAATGAATTCAAAAAGTGGATAAAAGTTGTGACCCATTGAAATGTGCGAAATTTTACCAACTTATTATCTCAAAGATTTATCAAACATGGGCATAAGCATTTGGAATCAATTTTGTAGAAAGAACATGATATGATCCGGGATAGGCAATTATTTGGTCGAGTTTTGGAGTCTAAATTGAAGAAGTTGACAAGCCAAGGTTCGGGAGCCAAAACGAGTTGGATTCAAGGTTTGGAAGATATTTGGAAAGAAAACGAGCAGCGTGGATGAAAATTGACATAACTTTCAGCTCGATTGTCAGATTTTCTCCCCTGAGTACATTCCGGAAATTGCACGAAATTTGCACAAGGCTACGCGGGCTTATAGTACTTTTGGGCTTGCGATGGCACAGAAACATGCCGAGAACAAGTTGACATAATTTTCCTATTTTGGTGAGATTTCCTTTTTAGTCTAGGATTCTATTTTATTCCAACTTTGACAATATTTTATGACCTAATTACGTTTTATTAGGATTTTTAGCATTATTATAAATAGGAGATTTATTTCATTGTAAAACTAAGAACCCTTTTGATATTATGATTTAAATGAGATTTTTCTCTTTTTGTTCTTGATTGAACATGTACCTAACTTATGAAATATTATTATATTTGTGGCGTTCAACCCTTAGAACTTATCAAATGATTATACATCCTTTGTGGCGTTCGCAAATTGAAGTTCGTTGGTTTTGTAATCAATAGGTCATTTAAACTTTTTTTTTGTTTGGTTGATTGGTTCAATAATTTGTGGGTTGAGATTCTATCGTTTACAACCTGAATTTGGATTTTTCCGACGTTTTCAATTAATTCCGCGATTTCCACTCTCATCCCGTACCCGAGTTCGCGTTAGAACATACTAACAATTAAACAAGCCTCTTCACGGAAATGTGCAAGCAATATATGGTGTGTAAGATTGATTTCCCATTAAAATGGCAGACGTGTGTGGTCACAATAACAGGGACGATGGCGAAGAATTAATATCAGCAATATCAAGAAGCTTTTTGGGCATTCCAATAGAGCCTTTCGCCAATTTAAACACAACGGTATATTCAGTTATGACTAGGAAAACAAATTCCAGAATAACTGCTAAAGCAGAGGTATATCTTAAAGAATCTGCAGGGATAAAATGCAAAAGACAAAAAAATATGGCAAGAAATCACTAGGGGACTGATTGGAGATTTGAACACATTTAGCTTATTTCAAAATTCTTTTAATTCTCATTCACATTTTCAACGCAATAAAATATTTTCCTTACTTTTTAAATGCACATTTTTCAGAAAGTCACTATTCAAAACTTAATTTTCTCAAAATTACCTATCAAACATGGGTTTAATGGAATGTAATTGATTAGGATGGAGTGACACATGTGGATTAATTGAATTAGTTTAAGGAGGTTAGTAATTTATCTATTTTTTAAAATTATTATACTATTTAGAAATAATACATGTATATTCTATAATTTGCACAAATTTTAAAATGAAAAACCAAATCTTAAGTTCAATTAAAACTTAATTGTTTGAAAGTTTTGGCTAAGTTTAAAACGCTTATAAACAAATCCCCAAGATATATCTTTCATCAATTGCTATCATTTCCACTTGTCATTTTTTTTAAACCATAATTTTATCGATTCATTTCAAATGCTGTAGTACTTCTTTAATTACTCCAATTTGATCTAAAATTACACATTGCATCACCTTCAATTTCTCCTTCCTTATTATCCGCAAATCAATTTTTTTCACCCGTACAATCTTTCATAGTAACTCCATCAGTATTACATTAAGGTTTCAACTTGCAATTAAAATGAAATATTCGGAGTAAGATTTGAATTTGTGCAACATGACGCACGTGACGACAACTTCAAAGGGGCAAATTGATGATCTTCCTAGGGACATTTTGGGCTACTAATATTGGCCATAATTTGGCAGATCCGGTTAGGTTCCTCGCACTGTGGGTTCATGAGTACCCCTAAGCTTGTGTTTGACACTCATTTTGAAAAAAAAAAAAGAATTATGATGGAAGAATGTTTGGTTGAAAAATAATGAAAATGAGTTATGCTACATGTACAGAGTTGGGTGAGAAAATAACATCTACACCAATTATTTTAAAAACAGACTTTTAAATTGTTTGAAATCAACGGTCTTGATTTTGCCAATACACTTTGTAATCCAACTTTTGTAATTCAACTTTGTACAAATAGCTTTATTGAATGAGAAGTTTTAGATTTGTGTGTAATATTATTTTATTTGAAGAATGTGTAACTAAAATGAAGAATGAGAAAAAAAATAAGGATGGGTGTCAAACATGGCATAAAACACATACTTTATTGCGTTAACAGAAAAGTATCGCCATTGGGTGCAAGTTGTTGGGTGTGGGGTCCAAAATTACAGCCAAAATTGAATCTCCAAGAAAACGAAAGTAAATTCTAGCACGAGCAAACGTTTGTAGCGTCAATTACCATAATGTCCATTCATTGTTCTAATTAGGAAAAATAAAATACCAAACGAAAACCTATTCAATGTTTGATTCCAAACAATTGTAATTCTATTTTAGACAAATTCAAGTTATATTCTAATTAAATCATATCACATTAATTTCTAACAAAGTCCAAACATCGTCTAGATTTGTGCTATGTAATATTGCTTTTGATAAAAATTAATTTAAGTCAAAGTTAATAATTAATTTTTTATTATATATTTCATGAAATTTTTAACTTCTCAATACCCAAATTTTTTGAAAAAAATTGATTTTAATTCTCACCAAATAAACAGTATTATTTAAGTAAGAAGAAACTTTTGAATAAAGTATTATAAGCTGGCCGTGCAACTGTGACCGGGTGCTATAAAACTCTCTTTCCAGTTTCGATTAATGCAATACAAACTACAAACCCTTGTGTTCTCTCCAACAAAAAAAAAAAACGCCCTCTCTCTCTTCCGGCGCTACAAATCTAGAGAAAAGCAAAAGTAGAGAAAGAATGGGAGAGGAGAAGCCAAAGTCAACTGGGGTGTGGCCGACCGTCAAGCCTTTCGTTAATGGAGGTGCATCTGGAATGCTTGCTACATGTGTCATCCAACCTATAGACATGATCAAGGTTATTTTTATTTTTTTTCCTGGTGTTGCTCTTTGGTTTGATGAATAATGGGTTATTGGCAGGGTTTAGATCTTGGATCAAATGGGTTATGGAAACTTTAAATCTTTAATCTGTTTTTGCTTCGTAAAATAAATTTTATGGCGGGTGTTGGTTGTTAGATCTTGGATCCAGAGAGTTTTTGAATAATCTGAAGTTGTTTTGATAAGTCACAGTATTGAAAAGGTCTTAAAGAGAAGACCTTTGTAATTTGTATAGCACTATTAAGTTTAAAAATGATATCTTTGAGGTTTTCCTTAGATCTAATGATTCAATTATTTGAAATTTGCACTGGTGGTGGCTTTTGATTTGATCAATGGGGTTGATTTCTAAATTTCAGGTCAGAATACAATTGGGTCAGGGATCAGCTGCTGAGGTGACAAAGAACATGCTTAAAAATGACGGCGTTGGTTCCTTTTATAAGGTTTGTTTTTCTAAACACTTTAGTTCCAATCATCAATGTTTACATGCTTTAATTTGTGCTAAACAATGGACCATGAAATGGATTTGGATCAACATTCAAATTAGTTTGTATCTTTTGGACTTGACATTTGGCCTGATTTTAGTTTTGAATGGCAGTAAGGAAATATTAGGCAGTTTGTCTTTTGTTATTGCTACCTTCATTGCCTATAGCTTTTCTTTAGTTGATTGAAAAGCTCCGTTAGAAGTCCCCAATCTCTGGATGTAGTACAAATAGGCTGAGTATAATCCTTTATGTTATACCGGGAAGGACCTACAATTCTTGCAGTTTAAGTTTATGCATTTGGGATTTGATTTTACTTAAAGTTTTCAAAAATTGCAGTTGAAATTTTGTCACAACACCTCTCCCCGTCAAAACAAGGAGCTGAATAGGTTCATATTAGTAGTTTACTCTTAATGAAAGAGGTAAATGGCAAATCAGACTTAATTAAAGGGTCATCTTTTTGCTGTTATGTTTATAGTTGCTCTCAGCATGCCTATATGCCATATTAGAAAGGGGCATAAGGTGTATTGGGCCAGTAGGACCAATTATTTTTGGCATTCTGGGACTGGCAGTTTTTTAGTTTTATTTGTCTAAAGTTAATATTTTCATTTTTATTTATTTGTAAATTATCTTCTTGAGGAAGAAAAGAAGATTACATTTTTATGATAGTGAATTTTCAACCCTATTCAGTTGTGAACGAATAAAACTTTACATGAATTGAAGATGCCTTACCATAAAAGATAAACAATATGTCGGATGTTACTAATCATCATGTTCTATTTTAGCGTTGTCGAAGTTAATATTTTCATTTTTATTTATTTGTAAATTATCTTCTTGAGGAAAAGAAGAAGATTACATTTTTATGATAGTGAAATTTCGAACTTATTCAGTTTTGAAAGAATAAAACTTTACATGAATTGAAGATGTCTTACCATAAAAGATAAACAATATGTTGGATGTTACTATCGTCATGTTCTATTTTAGCGTTGTTGAAGTTGTTGTTATGTTACGAATTTTTGTGCATTATTGATTCTGCATCATGCCAATTGTACTTTCTAAACTTTTGGTGTTGCCAACTGCTTCTTTCTTTAATCTCTTTGTGGGTTTTCATAATGACTGATCTCGTGCTATTGTTACTACCAAAGAGGTAGCAGTAGATTGCGTGCTGTGGCATCAATTATTGAATGTGTTATCTTTTGATTATTTTAGAATATTCTAATTCTGTAGTATAATTGTTTTTTCACTAGTATAAATATATAATCAGTTTCAAATTATTTTACACAACGTGATAAAAGTGAAACGAATTAGAGTTGGAAATAGTATCATTTCATACAAAACGTTATGCAAAAACTTTGTATTACATATTTTCTGAATTCTCAGTCAAATAAGATTGTACTCCTAAAAATTTAGTGTGGATCTATTACTGAATCTCATTCAAATACTTGGGCATTGGGCAGCCCCATATGCCTTGCACCTCTAACATTAGATAAGAATTGTTATTGCTTCTTTTAAGCTTGATGTGAATTAATTTATGTTCATCTTTGCACCTTTTAGCACTGCATATTATCAAAACCTTACCTTGTCTAACAATTATGATGATTATTGATTCTTCAGGGTTTGTCTGCTGGGCTTCTTAGACAAGCTACATATACCACTGCCCGCCTTGGAACATTTAAGTGAGTAGTCATTCATAAACACAATGAATTGAATAGAATTGTAGTTATGCGAATATTTAGTAATCTGAAAAACCATTAGGGAGTATTTTGACAAGTTCACCTATCAATCTTCCCTACCCTCCCAATACATGCTTCTAATCATTGTGACTGATATATAAGAATCCTTTACTAGACAGAATTTATCTGTCTTGGATATAGGTGCCCAAAATTTGTTTCACTAACAAACAAATTCAACAACACTAAAATTTCTTGAATACGCTTATTCACTGCACTAGCCATGGGGGTCCTCCACTGTGATCATTGTTAAATTTGGTCATTGCACTTGGGTCCCCTTGTTCGATATTTGTTACCGAGCTTGATGATATTTTAGTTCCTTAGAGCATTCATTTACAAGTTCACCTATGAAACATCTCCGCTGTGTACTTATCTTGACGTTGTGATTTGCTAAGTGATCGATAACTCCTCTACTACCTTGGTATTTCCTTAAGTCACCAAGAGAAGCATCAGTCATTTTGTAACTATGCCTTTGTTTGAGCCCCATTTTTTGAATAGTGTTTTGACCCAATTTCAACCACATATTATTCAATAAAATAATATTACATGCAACCCAAAATTTTTCCTTTTTTTTAACCACACATTTCCCTTCAATACACTATCCAAAAATGCATTTTTTTGGACAAAAATGGGTCTCAAACAAGCCCTATATCTCTCTGTATGTGGGTGTGTTTATTACGTGGGTAATCTGTCGATTTTTTTTGTATATTATATAATTTGAATGATAAAAAAGAAGTCACTTGAAGATACTACCCTGTCATAGGATTTTGACGAACAAAGCACTTGAGGCCAATGATGGGAAGCCCTTACCGCTTTATCAGAAGGCTCTGTGTGGGTTGACTGCTGGAGCAATTGGAGCATCTGTTGGTAGTCCTGCAGATTTGGCCCTCATACGCATGCAAGCTGATGCGACCTTACCGGTTGCCCAGCGACGGAATTACACAAATGCATTCAATGCCCTCTATCGTATCGTTGCTGATGAGGGATTTTTGGCACTGTGGAAAGGTGCTGGCCCTACTGTGGTCAGGGCTATGGCACTGAACATGGGAATGCTTGCCTCTTACGAACAAAGTGCAGAGTTCTGCAGGGATTCTCTTGGTTTTGGTGAGGCTACTACTGTGCTAGGTAAGATACTCTGATCCACCTTTACCCTGGTCTTAGCTTTGCTTTGATATCTGTATTTATTCTTCATCATAAGCAAATAACGTGCGTGAGATGCCAAAAACTTATCCACTTTGTTTATGATAAGATAAGATTTAAGTTAAGTAGAATGCTAGGATGTGTATGCAAATCACTGGCCTCTGGTTTTCTGGCTATCCATATTAAGGACTCGCAATGTTATTTGTTTTTCATGAGATATTTTTGGTATTGCGTATCAAATAAATATTTGATTTTTTTTCAGGGGCCAGTTCGGTATCTGGATTCTTTGCAGCAGCTTGCAGTTTACCATTTGATTATGTCAAAACCCAAATACAGAAAATGCAGCCAGATGCACAAGGAAATTATCCGTACACCGGTTCTTTAGATTGTGCCATGAAAACTCTCAAATCAGGAGGGCCATTCAAATTCTATACTGGATTTCCAGTATATTGTGTTAGAATTGCTCCTCATGTCATGGTACTCCTCCAAATCCTCTTACAAGACACATGATATCCTGCCCAGTTATTATTGTTCTACTTAGTTTTCTGATTATATAAACTTCTGTCAATGCAGATGACGTGGATTTTCCTGAACCAGATTCAGAAATTGGAGAAATCTGCTGGGTTGTAAGAGGTCTTCATTGAAGTTGACCATAATATTATTCGTATTGTTTTCTTGCTCCTGAAATTTTACACCCACGAAGTTGTGGGAAATTTTTAACAGGGATTTGCGCTAGACCACGTCAGACATTTTTCAGGCTAGGGATTTGGAGAATTCAATTTTCTTCCAAATTGGTTTTGGAAGGATTGCTTATTTGGAAATTCTTTTAATATAATAATCCATACATTTATTTTTGCCTCAATTTTGATTATATTCTTTTTCTTGAGCAAAATGTTGACGCTGGTGAATTCGTGATTGGGTGCATCTCTTCGCCGTTTTAAATAAACTTGATTGTTCGACAAAAATCATTTGACAGACCCTTATTCATGAACCGCATACAAACCCTCCATTTATGACGATTAAGATGAGCATCCTCTACCACCAAGATGCGACAATGGAGATTGAAAATCATGTGCAAGTTAAAAATAGGAGATGCCAACAAATATGTGCTAAAACATTTTGGTGACATTACAATTGAGGGGTTTGAACTAGAGCTAATCATGGATAAGTTCAATTAAGAATTAGAGAAATGCATGGTGTACAACCACGAATAATAATTTTGTTTGACATTCTACAGTTTTAACAAAAAGTTGATTTTGCAGTCAATAGTTTTTTGCCAATGCACTAATTGTCAATAAAGTTGTTATCCATGGTTGTACAAAATAACATTATTGTAAGAATTATCTTTTGCGATCGTCCTTGGAGCATGCAAAGGAATTGCATAAGCATAAACGAAATAGTGACCAGAATGAATACGGACCCACCCTCCGATACTAGCATGTTGGAGAGGGCATCGTTGGAAGTAGAAGCAGGAAATGAAAAATAAGATGATTTGGAAGCTGTTATGTTGGCCTCTATGGGGAATGGACTCAATTTGAATAAATATATCAGAACAGCATGTCATGAGAAGTGTCTTTCACATCGACTACCTACCTACCTATAAAAGGCTTGGAATTTAAAACAACATCCAAGTTTATTAAATACGCAGTAACCCGTCGTGGCATGGTCCTTAGCTGGTTTATCATAATCTTTGTTTAAAGTGGTGTCACCAACCCAAAAACTACAATATAACACCAACGGAATCAAGATTTTATTGCAGGTATTTTTGTCCATGGGGTAGTGTATCTCTTACTGAAAATAAAAATTTAAGAGGTACTCAAATTAATCAATAATAATTAATTAAAACACCCTACTAATCTGATCATAATTTTACATACAAAATAAATTAAATAAACAAACTACAGAGTTACATTACATCACACCAAACAAATCTCACTTGGAATTAATACACAGTTCAGAAGAGGAGAGCGAAAACGAGGATCGGCGGCGGAGACAAAATTCGACGGGGGAGAGTGCTATCAACATGATGACCATCAAGGCAGTTGCCAGCATCTTCATCTTCATGGCCTCCATTACTTCTTGAAACATATAAGTATGTAAATATAGAGAGAGAGGGAGAGAGGACTACAATTCCTCTTTGAAGAAAATGTAAGCTATAAATAGAGATGTGATGGGGCTGGATAGATGGATTGGTGCAGTTCATATAGAAATGGAGGAAGAGAGAGAAATTTAGTACAGGTTAACCTTCAAAAAGCTGATTGCCGTTTTTCTTTTTCTTGGTTAATACAAAGCGAAACACTTTATAAACGCTGTAAAAATGATATTTGAAAATCATTGAATATAAAAAATAGTTAAAAAAACTATTTATGTGAAATGAACTTTTTATACAATTCAATTATTTATTTACGTGTATGATAATAATTAACATTAATTTATATATATCATACTATAATTCAATCAATTAATTCTTCAAGTTCATGCATGTACACTTCATATATTTTGGGGGCTGTTCAATTAC